TTTTCCCCCTCAAAAGTAAGGCGAATGAACAAGCTTTAAGATTACACCTATAGCTCAATTTAACCAAAAACTGAAGAACGCTTGATCCCACCACGCTGCGACACAATTTATTGTGCAGCGCCAAGAGCCACATGGGAGTGGGCACAATAAAAGTAATCTGTATTAGTAATCTTCATAATGAAGAACGATATTTACTGACATTGATAAAGATGACTGAACACCTCGTGACTGCTGTGTGAAGACGGTATTCGTGATACTGATCGCTACCTTAGAATTACAAAGTTCTGTTTGCCCAGTTCCTAGTTTTGGGAAATTTGACGAAAACAATTTTGAGTTTGACATGTAAAGCAAGCTTTTTCGAAGGCAATTTTTTAAAATATCCTGATAACGTTTCCGAATAATCTTATAATTTTGTTAGAGCAGAAATAACATAAAGGTTTCTGACCTCATGGTCTACTTAGTAACTCAAAAACGGCAAAAAATGTAAGACAGTACTTTCAAACTCTGAGGTAGCGTTATACTGATGCTATGTATAGTGTAACTGTCATTGATGTTGTCTTAAAAGTTTTTTAAAATGCATGAAAAAAAGTAATAAAATGTACATAAACCCAAAATACCTGTCTTATTTCAATATACGGTATTTATTAAATTAATTTATAAATGTGTAGATTTTTTGGCCTGGGATAGAAGGTATCCGTTTACTTGGTTGACGACATATTATGACGTTGATTGTTTGTTTTAAAAATGCCCTTCCAACTTCCAACCACAGATGAGTCTTGTCAAAGTCGGACTGCGTGGTCCAGTGTCAAGAGTGGGAGAAAGAAAGAAGATGAAAGGAAAAAAACCCAGAGAATATAACCGGACTAAACTTTCCCCAACTTCTACTTAGCACATCTTTTCATATTGTGTTATTCCACATTATCATATGATTGTCATTGCACATCCCACAGCCTGCAGCTGGCATTTTTATAATCCTATAAGGGGGCCAAAGCAGATTGTTTGGAAGACGAAGCCTTGTACCCCAACCGGGACCCAAGACTGTGGGTGTAAGTGTTTTTACGCCCCTTTCAAAACAATTTAGATCACTTAGGGGGAGATCTCCGACCCGCCCATCAACCCGGGCTGAGAAGGATTCAACATTTCAGTAGAAAAAAAGAGCTACTCGATAAACATTCTCCCCCACACGGGAACTAAACTCAGGTCTTCTGCGTGTGACGGCAAAGCGCCTAACTGCTAAACCACAGACGCCAGTGGCACAAGACTGGGATGGTTTGAAAGTCTTTGGAACAAAATGCGTCATATAAAGGGGTACTCGTAAGTAGATAGGGCTGGATGTAGTTTTATTTTCAGTCTTCTTCTTCTTCTTCTTCTTCTTCTTCTTCTTCTTCTTCTTCTTCTTCTTCTTCTTCTTCTTCTTCTTCTTCTTCTTCTT